CAGAGCTCCCCAAGTGGGGGCTGGGGGAGCAGGAAGAGAATAGGCATGATTTCATATACATTCCAGATCTGACTGCTGGTGGTACATACACACAACATGATTCTACAGACTAACAAATGATAAAAGGTTGATGACTTTTAGTGGATAAGAACTGTGTATTTGTTGGTTGCTTATCTGGGTTATCTTGGCTTCAGAGTTGAACTTTTTTAATTCATTAACTGGGAGGATCTCTGGACTAAAGGGAATTTATCTATTAAAAGACTGGAAAGAAACCATGCAAACCTCACTATGGAAGTCCAGGCATAAAAGATAAAACCCTTGGAAGGAAGCACAAGAGCATCACTAGCCCAGTATTAGATGATGACTAGTTTTTGTGTTTGAAAAAAGCAGGTAAATAGAAATCATATGTCCCACTGTCTCAACCAGAGGAAATACACAGTTCTGGATAATTAGTGGAGCTGTGTGAAAAGTGGACTTCTCTTTAGGACCCGATGTCTTAGGCCACTGGAAGACAATATAATCACATGACTGGGATCAGAGGAATTTGATGCCCAATCCCAAATATCACACAACATGCCATGTCAGCAGGGCAAGGCTGAATACCATATTTACTCAAATACAAGGTGAGCGTTTCTTTTCCCCAAACAACACAGGGAGAAAAAAACCCTCATCTTAGATTCAAAACCGGCCCTGGGCAGGTGTTTTTTCAGTTCTAGCTTTGGCCCTGGGCTCAGGGATGAAGTCAGAGCCAAGCCACCACCTCTCCTGGAATGGGGTGGCTGTGCAGTGGAAGAAGGTCATGTAACCCAGGGAGAACAGAGGAGACTGTGGGGTGGGGATGGAAGGTGCACAAGGAAGCTCCTTGGTGTGGGGGCAGGGTCGCACAAGGGAGTTCTGCTGTGAGCGGGGAGAGGGGCAGTGGAAGTTGCTGCCCCCATTTTTCCCTGGCCAGGAATAGAATCTAATAGAATCTATGTATAGAATCTAATTATTGTGGTGGTCATCTTAGATTTGAAGTAGTCTTGGATACCGGTGAATGTGATATGCCACATGTTCAATTTAAGTGCCATACAAACCAGCCCCAAAGCTGTTCCACATTTAATGCAGCAGCGTTGGGGCTGGTTTGTATGGCAATTTAATTTTGAACATTTGGCATTAATTTGAATTTGTGGGCTGGTCTACCATTTTATGGCACCATAAGTTGGTTGAATGTGTAGCATGTTACAATTTATCTTATGATTAACGCATTAATCATTAGATGAATGTAACATTTGCCAGGGGCCTTAGACTTCCACCCTCTAGCACATCCAGTTAATAGATATCTAACAAAAATGTCAAAATTGATTCACAGGAATCTAGTCAGGTAATGAAGCACAAATCTAACCCTCATGCCCATCATTTATTCCAGAGACCTCTATGGTTACAGAGTACAACGAGGAGGGAAACAATAATCAGTAGCTAAACTGCATAATGCAGTTAATGAGTAAAAGAAGTATGGGCAGACTGGGTATAAAGGGTAAGATTTTTTAAAATGGCAGTTAAATATTAGGCCTATGAATTAATCAGGCCTGTTTTTCAGAAATGCTCAGCACCCTCTTCTTTCACTGAAATAAGTGGATCTGACCAGAAATTCTCTGATGAAGCAGTTTTGTCCCCAAATACTGCTGGATTGAGCCTGAAATATTTTGTACAAAGCACCTTCGGTTCAATGAAAACTGAGACTGAATTTAAGACCAGGTTTAGATTCTGCAGATCGATAATCCAGTTGCCCAGACTATAGAACACTGCCAGGTCTCCCAAAGCTCCCCAGTAGCTCTTGTGTATCTCTAAAATTCCACTGAGCGTGCAGGCCCTCTTGATTATGCAGGCCCTCTTGATTATTGTTTCCCTTTCTGCAGACCCGGTCTTGGCCACTGGGGATGACCTGGTGAAAGGACTGCAGGTTTCTTGACCACCTGGGTGACAGTGATCATTGCCTGCTGGAATTCACCATTCAGCACAGGGTATTGAGGGCTTATCCCAAGACTAAAGCCCCTGACTTCAGAAGGACCAACTTCAATAAATTTAGGAGATTAGTGGGGGAGGCACTGAGGGCCCAAAAGGTAGAGGATATGGGAGTCCATGAGGGATGGTCATACCTTAAGGGGACGATCCTCCAGGCTCAGAGTGTGACAGTCCCCAATAGAAAGAAGGGGGGTAAGAGTGCTCTGAAACCCCCATGGCTCAGCAAAGGCATTCGAGAATGCCCGAGGGCCAAAAGGGAGGCATACACCCAGTGGAAGGGAGTGGCTATCACCAAGGAGGAATACTCCTCCTTGTCCCGTGAGTGTAGGAGGGCTATTAGGAAGACCAGGATTAAGGACAACAAAAAGTCCTTCTTCAAATACATTGGGAGTAAGAAGAGGGCACCGGGTAATGTAGGGCCCCTGCTAGACTCAAATGGTAATCTTGTGGCTACGCCAGACAAGAAAGTCAACATTTTTAACAAGTTCTTTGCCTCTGTTTTCTTGGACAGGGACCAGGATAGCTCTCCCACCACAGGTAGGGGCAATCTTGGGGATAGCACTACCAGGCCTCGGGTCTGTGCAGATGTAGTTAGCGATCTTCTGGAAGGGCTGGATGTTTTTAAATCTGTGGGCCCTGATGCTCGCCACCCACAGGTGTTGAGAGAGCTGGCAGGGGTCATTGCTGTTCCCTTGGGCTGGCTGTATGAACGATTGTGGTCCACGGGCCAGGTGCCTGGAAATTGGAAACTAGCTAATGTGGTCCCCATTTATAAGAAAGGGAGAAAGGAGGAGCCAGGAAACTATAGGCCCATAAGCCTTACATCAGTCTTGGGGAAAATCCTGGAAATTATTATCAAGGATCACATTGGTGAGGGGCCAGCAGGGGAGATCATGCTCAGGGGAAATCAGCATGGGTTCATCAAAGGTAGTTCCTGCCTGACCAACCTGATGGCCTTTTATGGCCAGGTAACTAAATCCCTGGATGATGGTGTTGTTGTGGATGTAGTCTTTTTGGACTTTAAGAAGGCCTTTGACATGGTCTCTCACCCCATTCTCATTAATAAATTGAGCGACTGTGGCATTGATGCCTACACAGTTGGATGGGTCAAAAATTGGCTGATGGGGTGCACCCAGAGTGTGGTGGTGGATGGGTCGTACTCAGCCTGGCGGGATGTGAATAGTGAGGTCCCCCAGGGCTCAGTCCTGGGGCCTATATTGTTCAACATCTTCATCAGCGACTTAGACGAGGGGGTGGAAAACACGTTGTCCAAGTTTGTCGATGACACCAAGATGTGGGGAGAGGTAGGCACCTTTGAAGGGAGAAAGAGGCTGCAATTAGATTTAGACAGACTATAGAAGTGGGTGGATGGTAATAGGATGGGGTTCAATGTAGATAAATGCAGGGTGCTGCACCTGGAGAGAAGGAATCCACAGCATACATACAGGCTGGGGAGCTCCCCCCTTGTGAGCACAGAGGCAGAAAGGGATCTTGGAGTCATTATTGACTCCAAGATGAACATGAGCTGCCAATGCCAGACCGCAGCCAGCAAAGCCAACCACACCTTGTTGTGCATCCAAAGATGCATCTCAAGCCGGTCCAGAGAGGTGATACTTCCTCTCTACGTGATATTGGACAGGCCACAATTGGAAGACTGAGTCTGGTTCTGGGCACCGCACTTTAAGAAGGATGTGGCTTGCCTTGAGAGGGTTCAGAGGAGGGTCACCTGCTTGGTTGGAGGGTAATAGGGCAGGACCTATGAGGAGAGGCTGAGGGACCTGAACCTGTTCAGCCTCAGCAAGCGGAGGCTGAGGGGGGATTTGGTGGCTGCCTACAAACTTGTTCGGGGAGATCAGCAGCAAATAGGAAGGGCCCTATTCCCCCCAGCAGCACCTGGGGTGATGAGGAACAATGGCCAGAAGCTGCTGGAGAATAGGTTCAGGTTAGAGATCAGGAGGCAATATTTCACTGTTAGGGTGGCTAGGATCTGGAACCAACTTCCTAGGGAATTGGTCCTCGCTCCCACCTTGGGTAAATTAAAAAAGAGTTTGGACGAACACCTGTCTGGGGTCGTGTGATCCCAGCGTGTGTTCCTGCCAATGGCGGCGGGGTCAGACTAGATGATCTGTTCAGGTCCCTTCTAACCCCTAACTACTATGAAACATAACAGTTAAAGAAAATAACCCTGAGTCTTTGAAAAGGTATTTAAAAGCTAATCAAATTTTACTACTAGAAAATCATAAAAGATGTATGGAACTACAGAAAACATTGCAAAACCTTCATGCAGATCCCTACACTACCCCTCCTAAGAATCCTTTGGGACTTAGCATCTTTCCAGGAGATCCAGGATTCTTCTTTACACACAGCTTCATCTTCTGCTTATGGTCTCTGTCTCCTTCCTTTACTGAGGGAGTCCTTGAAGCCCTGAATTGCTTCAAGTCTCATGTCCAATGTGAGGTATCTAAGAAGAACTGGTTTCTGTAGACTGCAGCCAGCTGATTGGTCTGGAGTTTGTCCAACAGAATTGAAGATCAGCTAGGTTTATGATCCTTGACTGTGCTCCCCTGTTAGCTCTCTACAGAGTGCACACTTGGATTTGCTAACACCTCTTGAATCCCAGTCCAAGACAGAAGTTAAACACTGAATGTACAGTGCAGCTGACAATCAAAAGGGTGCTCACAAAAAGGGTTTTATAATTTGGTTCAGATATGTACAGAAATGCATTACTCCGTTACAAAGGACAACTTACAAGGGTGCCTGACATTACACTCAGATGGGAAAATCTTAGCCAAAGACTTTTATTTCTTGGTTATCAAGTCATATCTAATTCAGGGCAGTAGAGCCCAGTACAAATTGTCATCTGGCAGCCATCTGATGGCCAACATCAACTTGGTTTGGTATTTAGCCAAGCCTTGCATAAAACAAAACAGCCCCAAACTTATCATCACTTTGTCCTTACTGACAGTAAGGCCAATAAATAAAAGGAACATCAAAACATCCTTTTCCTTCATCACTGAAGGTAATTCTTGCTCCTCAGGGGTGAAAATTGTTAGGGAAGCATGGTTGGGAAGCTGATACTACAGATATCCCTAGAGAAGAAGCAGCCTGGGTAAGTGCAAAATCTCAAGAGCTCTCAAGCTATTGCATCCCAGTAGCCTTAAACTCACTAAAAAGAAACAAATGTACAGGTTTATATTATATAGGTCTTTAATTGTGCTGTTACTAATGCTTCCTTCATAATTATATTATAGGAGGAAATCGATAGCAAACCCTCTATTAAGGCTGCCTAACACTTTTCATTAGGAAGAATTTTTGGCACATTTTTTAGAAGCTATGACACCATCTGTTTGGCTCAGGTCTTTGGCAGGGAGACCAACCACAGGCTACAGAAGTACCTTTCCTCTGTCCCAGGAAATTCAGTTAAAACAAAATGTTACGATTTCTTCTCTCTTTCTTTCATTCTTCAGAAAAAGGCTACTCTCAGGCTTTCTTATTTTAACAGAATTTTTCTGTAATGGCTGTATATTACATTACAATTGAAACAGGGTTTGGTTTTTTTGTTTACACACATATATGTATATATGTGTGCATGTCCACACACACACACACACACACACACACACTCACACACACACACATATGTATATATGCACAAGTCATTGTCTGCAGCAGTGGCAGTGAGCCCTCATGGTTGAGGATGATCACTCCTGCAGGTCAAGTAAAGGATGGTAGAGGAGTCTGTTGATGGCTAAGAAACTGATCCTGAGCCACAGACTCTCTGGCAGATGCCACAGGTGGTGGTTAAAGGGAGGGTCAGACCAAAGATTTCTCAGTCTTATTTCCTTTCATAGATATTAGGGGCTGAAAGGGACCTTGCAGATCATTGGGTCCAGCCCCCATGAAGTTTGGCAGGAAAGACTGCTGGGATCAGATGACCCTAGCAAGCTGTGCATGAACACACTTTTTGAAGATTGCCAGGGTGGGTGACTGTACCACCTCTGGGAGGAGCCTGTTCCAAACCCTCGGTGATCAACTTGTAAAGAAGTTTTTCCTTATGTCTAACCTAAGTGATCTTCAAACAGTTTGTGTCCATTGTTTCTTGTCCTCCCCTGGGGGCTCTTGGTGAACAGATGCTCCCCCAGGCCCTGATGTTCACCCCAATATAATTATAGGCTGCCACCAAGTCCCCTCTGAGTCTTCTCTTCTCCAAACTGACCAGTCCCAAGTCTTTCAGCCTCTCCTCATATGACCTGCTCTCTAGGCCTCTAATCATGCACATGGATCTCCTTTGGACTCTCTCGAGCTCCTCCACTTTCCACCTCTGTCATTTTTCTGTCTCCAGAGCAAGATGATTTTCCTTAAAGTAAGGTGTACCTTCTCTCATGATGCATTATCATGTACCCTTGTCCTGGGCTAGTTTTTCCTTATTTGTGATGTCAGTGCCACAGTTCTTAAAGCTTGCCTTGAGGCTGTCCATGAAGTGTTTCCTCTGGCGCCTGTGTGTCCTTTGTCTTTGGCCGAGTTGGGCGTATAGCAGTTATTTGGTAAATGTATATCAGGTGGGTGCACACAGTGTGCCGTCCACCTCAGCTGATGCAGTTTTTCACATATGTATATATACATCTACGTATACATATATATGTAGATGTATATATATGTGTGTGTGTGTGTGCATGTCCACATACATACACATAAATGTATATATACACACATGGATATTATACACACGTTAAAAAGTGTTTAGGTTTTAAAGGTTTCCAGCACTTAAAAGTTGGAAGATACCTACTGTGCATCTGCCATGTGCACTGGACATAAGTAAACCTCATTTAACTCCATGCCTTCCAGTTTCTGTGTCATATGAAGCAGTGGTCCTCCAGGCAACAGCCTCCTTTACTATGCAGCCCTGATTCATTGGCTTAGTACTGTCCACCTGCTCTACTGACTGAGGCAGGGATTCTAGAGATAAAATAGCATGTGATGATGTGATTAGAGACTGCATATACGTAAGGGGGCTGAGCTGAGGCTGCCCAAGTGACCTTGATAACGGCATTTTTTTACTTTTGAGTTCTGTTTAGTTTTATTAGCTGGCCAAAAACAAACAGGAGAGGACTGCACCAGCCTAAACAAGACTATACATAACTTAGGACAATGACAGCATTTTCTGCTGCATAGTTCTTCTCTGGGTCTCCTTCCTAAGGGAATAGGTAGTGGCCAAACGTCCTGATCTAGCCCTAAAAGAAAGCTGCCTCTCTGTTGAGAGATGGACTCAAATGTTCCTTGAAAAAACCTGTTTGGTTTGGAAATTATATGAAAGCAACTTGTACTATTTCTTCCTCTTCAGCTAGATTTGGCTCTCTAGTGCTGGATGCTGTATAAACACACAACGAAAAGCAGCCAATTCCCTGGAGAGGTTTAAAGAGAAAAAGGCAGAACTGTTCCCTCATTTCATAGAGCAGGAGCTGTGGCACAGAGAAGTCTGAATGAACTGGAAATGGAACCTAGATTCCCCAATTTCAGGCCTGTTGTTTTAACCACAAAATTAACTTTTCTCTGCCCTGGGAGGAACCACCTGTGTGGCTGGAAGGTCAGTCTCAGTGATCCATCGGTTTCATTGCTGCAAACAAGGGGGTGAGTTAGTCAGGAATTTATTCTGTTTGCCAGCAGCACATATGGGGTGGGGAGAAATGTTCTCTGGATAACACTGAAACTAAAAACAGGTTTGGCTCTGGCTCTTTTTGAACAGCACCATCAGGCCTGTCTCAGAGCTGGGCTCAAGCCTAATTTGTGACACAAACTTAAAGATGTCAGGCAGGGATGCAACATACCATGGACCCAACCCTATTTTCATTGGAGTATGTGAGAATGGTACCATTAACCTCACTGAGGGTACAAGGGGCGATCTAATCAGCACTCATTCCCCTAGCACAATAGCAGGCGGGGTGGGGATGGCTTTTGGTTTGAATAACCCCTTTATTATTGAGTTACATATTTCTTTGGCTTTCAAGTGTCAAATCAGAAACATCCCACACAGTTAAATATAATCCCTCTGGAAAAACCAGCAAGGCTCTATGGGCCAAAGAAATTATTACACAATACATCAAATGCACTTACATAAACAGATTTCATAAATAAGAGCGTTCTCTTGACATTTGCTCTCTGCTTAATTATGTGAGAATGCTTCCCATGCATAATTTCTTGTTTTGTTTTTTTCCTGGATTGGGGATGCAGAACATATTTATTCTTTAAAAAAACAACAGAAAAAAAAAACTTTAAAAGAAGAGTTTGCTATACCATTTCGCTGAATTCGGTTCTGCTGATTGGACAGTCTGAAAACTCAAGTCATGTGAGCAGGGGAGCAAAGATAGCGGCACTCAAAGCTGTTGCTTTCTGAACCAGAAAAGCCTGACCAAAGTGTAGGCCGTTATAACATAGCCCAATATTGATTTAAGCTTGGTTCTATCTGTTGACAGCTGCAATAAGGGAAACTAGTGAGGTGGACACCTCTGCTAATAACCATCCTGAATGAAGGTTGTCTATGTTGCATTCATCCAGCAACCTTGTGCATGAACATTGATACAGTCTGCAATTACATGATCTCAGCCTACTTCACCCAGGAATCCCCACCTTATTTAGTGCACAGGTAAGATGGTGCTCAGGGAATGAGGCAGGGCTGTATCAGGAATGATGCAACTGTGAGTAGGCTCAATTTACTGTATGCTGTGTAATCTGAGAGTCACTAATAGTCTAGCTCAGTTTTGCAGTGTAGCATGTTGGGGTGCAAGGGGTAGCAATGATGCCCCCTGCAGGCTCCATCACCATGCCCCACTCCGCCCTTAGGGTACCTTCCTGTCTCACCTGCCATGACTTGATGGAATAATGATAAATAGGGAGGCTGCCCACAGACCTTTGCATGGCTCTGGTTCCCCTGAACCCCCACTAGGGTCCCCAGTGCCCTACTAGTCCTCACTGATCCTTGACCCCTCACCGGGCCTCTATAGTCAACTGTGCCAGGTCGGGCACCCAAAGACTTAAGGGCTAATTTCATGGCTAATTTCATGGCTTTGGCATCCTCTCCTTTACTCCAGCTAGGCCTCCTAGCCTGGGCCCACTGTATCAGACCTGGCTTTGAGGCACTAGCTCAGGCTTGTCCAACATATGGCCCTCAGGCCACCATGGGGCCTGCCAAGGCATTTTCTGTGGCCTGCAGTGCTGCGATGGGAAACGAAAGTAAACATGGTTTACTTTCGTTCCTGCCCCTTGTCCCTCCCCCAGCCCCTCAGCAGCTTCCTAATGGCTGCTGAAGGGCTGGGGAAGGGACAAGGTTCCCATATGAACCGCGTCAGCTTGACATTGGCAACGCGGTGCGTGTGGGAGGAGGAGTAGCCGTGTGCCTCTCGGGACAGGATGAGCCCAACCGGAGCAGCAGGGGCTCAGCTGCACTTTCCCCCTACCTGTGCTGGTCAATCCTGAGCAGCACATGGCTTTGCCGCCACTTCTGCTGGCTGGTGCTGACCCAGGCAGGTCTGTCTCATCTGAAGCAGCATGCAGCTGAAGCTGGATTCCCGCGTGCTGCTGGGGATGGGAGGAGGCTGGCCAGGTTGGCACCAGCCAGCAGAAGTGTGGCAGAGCCGTGTGCTGCTCAGGGCTGACTGGCGCAGGCAGGGGGAAGTGCAGCTGAGTCCCTGCTGCTCCAGCCAGGCTTGTGCTGTCCCGAGCGGCACACAGCTCCACCGCCACTTCTTCTGGCCGGTGCAGACCCAGCCAGGCTCCTCCCGGAGCGGGCTTCAGCCGCATGCTGCTCCAGATGGGATGGACCCGGCCAGGTCAGCACCAGCTAGGAAAAGCGGCATGCAGCTGAAGCCGCCCTTCCGTGGTCCTCACCATGTCTTCCACTGCGCTTCCCCTGCTGGGCTCCAGGATCTCCCAGCGGGTCAGGGCCCACCCCAGCAAGGTTTCTCACAGCTCTGTGCCTGGCATGGGGTGGCTGTGGGGCTGGGCCGAAGAAGGGCCTGGCGCGGTCAGGTGCAGAGCGGAAGCCCTGGGGATGTGCTGCTCACGCAGCGTTGGTTCAGTGCCAAAAGGCGCCCTAACACCTTGGGCCAAATCCTG